GTTCTTCCCGTTGATGCTTGTTGCAGGTACCAGCTTCCATGTATCTCGGTCTTGCAGAGCCTTTAGTTCCCTTTCCATCGCCTCCTTCCATTTTGCCTTATGCTCCCCCCCCAGAGCCTGCGACAGAGTCGAGGGCTCGCGCGGAGATGGCGGCGGCGGATGCTGGACGGAGACCCAGAGGCCGAGGATCTGCAGTCCCGTGGGTGTGTGTCGAGGGGAATTTTCATTCCCGGAATAAGCTGCTTCGTCACCATCTTCTGGATCAGGTAAGAAGTTTGGGCCGATGCGTTCTGAAACATTCGTGTCGACGGGGTGGGGTGTAACGTAACCTTGGTCAGCGAAGTGGTAAAAGGTGTCGAGGTTGTTGCTATCGAGTTGATTGTCTTCGTCGAGTGGGACTGGCACGGAGCAGTAAGGGAGTGGTCCGGCAGCTTCCGAAGCTCCAGGTACGTCTTCTTCTGCTGCGTCAGCTTCGGCAGCATGGTCAGCGAAGGAGCGGAGGCCTGCGACACCGTCGGTGGGGTCTTCTGTGTTGGTGATGTTGTCCAGGTAATGTTGCAGCGTCAGTCGTTCGTAGAAGATCACATCACGTGATGCCACGGTAGTTTTGTCTTGTATGTCGAGGATTTTCCACAGGGCCCTAGATTGGTTTTGAGGCTTCCTGATCCATCAGGATTCTCCCGGAAGAAAAGTCTGAATTTTCAGGGTCCCCTAAAAAAAAATCCTGAGCCATCAGAATTACTGTAAAAAAAAAAACTGATTCTTCAATCTTTCTATACATGTTATAGTTCATGAATTTTGTGTGTTCAAGTCTTGGTTTTTGGGGGTGCTGGGAATTCGTAGCGAATTCGCGTGTGTGGCGAGATTGGGGGATGGGCAGGAAACGACAATTGGTGGGGGGGAGAGGGGGGAAGGGCTGAATAGGGGGGGAGGTGTCGAGATTGTAGGGGCGGAGGGAATCTCTTCCCTCGCAGAGCCCTAGGGCAGGCGCACATCAAGCAAATTCGGCCAAGGGCTAGCAATTGCCCTCACACAGTCCTCAGCACACCTCCCTCACATGACCTCCAACATACAGCGCGGAGATTTTTTTTACCAAGGGCCAATCAGCGCCCTCACACAGCCTCGGGGGGTGGGGGAAGGGGGGGGGGAGAACCTCGAAATTCTCGACTGCCCCCCCTAGACACGCTTTTGGAAAGGACTAAGACCCGCTACAATGCTGAGAAATTCAGGGTTCGCTAAGAAACCTTGCTGAGTGATCAAAGTTTACCCTTAGAAAAATCCTGAAAGAACAGGGTTTGTCAATTACAAAACCCTGCACAATCAGGGTAAGTACCGAGAAACTCCCTGTTTTTTCCCTGAATCAGGAAAATTTTCCTGACTTCTGGGGGCCTGATTTTCCATGCTTGAAAATGTTGTGCGATGCCGAGGTGTAGCCCCCATCTTGCTCGTTGAGTGAAACGTCCTGCTCTGGCTGTGTGGGGTCTGTACTGTACCATGCAACCGAAGACTCGAAGTAATTTTGTGCTGCCCCTTTTTCGTGTCCACAGCAGGTGCGGTGATGCGTTGTTGGGAAGCGATGACGAGGACAACAGGTTGTGCAGGTGGACTGCATGTGTCATCGCGTCTGGCCACAGTGTGGTGGGCAGTCTCATCCCCAGGAGCAGCTTTCGCATCGTCGTCTGCAAGGTCCGGTTCATGCGTTCTGCGACCCCCTGCTGCTGGTGAGCGTAGGGCAGAGACACCAGGCGTCTGATTCCTCTTTCCGCCAGATAGGTCCTGAAGCGTTGTGACTGGTATTCTAGTGCACCGTCTGACTCGAAGCTCTTGAGCTTGGTTCCTGATTCTCGTTCGGCGATGGGTAGCCATGTCGTGAAGGCGTCGAAGGCTTGGTCACGCCTCTTGAGGTTGTAGTGCCAGACGTATCTTGTTGCTGCGTCGATAAACGTGATGACATAGTTGAAGTTTGCTTCAGCGTCTTCTCGAGGCATGTTTAAAATGTCGCAGTAGATTTTTTCCATCGGTGCGTATGCAGGTGCGTTGGGTTGTGATGAGATGGGAAAGGCTGATGGGGAAGATCGGCTTCGGGGCACGTAAAGCACCGTGCGCGTGGTCGTCGAAGTTCTTGGCCGCTCGTGGTTAGGAGAGCGTTGCGTTCTAACACTTCGGCTTGGATGGTTTGTAGTATTGTACTATTTGCAGGGTGCCCGAGGCGTTGGTGCCAGATGTCGTCGGGAGCGCGATGGCCGGGCGAGCGGTGGTATATGTCGGTGTTGGAGAAGAACGCGACGACTGTGGCGGGACTTCGACAGACTTCTCGTGTGATGGGCATAAGTTGATCTGCTTCGGTTGGCGGTCCTCGGATCGCTGGCGGTGGTACTCGGCTGGGTCCTGCTGCTGCTAGTGCAGGTGATGGTTGGGAAGGGACACTTGCTGGTACTTGTCGTTCTTGTCTGATGACTGCTAATGCTCGTGTTCTCTCTGTTGCAGGTATGGTGTTGGAGTGCCAGAATCCGTCAGGATCGAAGTCGGGGTCAAGATCCGGCAGGTGTGTCCAGGCGGCGAACGACACGATTCCGTCGCTGTCGGCAGTGCCACGGTCGGGGACGAAGTCCAACACGAAGACGCCGGACTTCAGGAGAGCACGACCGATGAAGAGACCGCCCTTCCCGTGGTAAAGGCGAAACTCGTTGGAGTAGGAGTCGCACTCCAGGTGAATCCCTTTTGCCATTAGCTGGCTTACGCTTAGTAAGTTGTATCCCAAGTTGTCGACGTTGAGGACCTTGTTGAGTTGAAGTATAACGTTTGTCTCCATGGATTGTAACTGAACCACGCCTTGTCTGTTTGTTTTCAGGTTTTCGTTGTTGGCGACGGTGATGATGACGTCGCGGGTGAGTCGTCGCTCTCGTTGCACGAAGCGTCCAGAAGAACACATGTGTTGACCGCAGCAACTGTCCAAGAACCAGGTGTTTCGCCCGGTGGGTTCGGCGTTGGCGACCGCAGCGTATGTCGGGTTGACCTCAAGTCCTTGTGAGCGCGGCGGCGGAAGTTCTTCTTCGTCTGGTGCGTAAGTGGGTGGTGATCCGGGTGCGCAGTTGTCGATGTGTACCATGCAGTTAATGATGTTCGGTGTCCCTTGTGCAGATGCGGAAGAGCGCCTTGGAGGGCTTTCTTGAGTGGAGGCGACGTGTGGGTCTACTGGACGATAAACACGAGGACGTGTGCAGTTGAATTTGGAATGTCCGGAAGTCTGACAGTTGTGGCAGAACGGCGGCATGAAGGTGAGTCCTCTGTTGTCGCGTTGATCTTGCTTGCCGCGTCGATTGTAGTTGTTGTCGTTCCTTCGTTGAGTGTAGAAAACTAACTGTTGCTGCTTCCTTGGTTGTCATTCTTCGAACAGGTCCATCTCCTGTTGTTCAGCGTGAAGCTCGGCGCAGAGGTGCATCTCTGAGATTCTTCCGTGGGCGCGAAGAAACGAGCGTGTGGTTCTCCATTCTGGTCCGAGCCCGGGGAGGACAAGCGTCACGAAGCTTTCCTCAGTGATTGTTTCTCCGCACCGAAGCAGGCGGTCGCGGAGGGTCTGGCAGCGACTCATATACTGCATCGCCTTTTCCCCTGTCTTCATCTGTATTGTTGTCAGTTGTTGCATGAGTCTGCTTTGTGTGACGCTGTCGTTTGCTTGATAGAGACACTTGAGATGATGCCATGCGAGTACCGCGGAGTTTCCATAGCTCCGATATGTTATGATGCTCTGGTATTCTTGTGGTGACAGGTTCCGCAGGAGAATTGTGTACGCCAGCAGCGACTGATAAGTAAATATTTCTTGCTCCTTTGCAGTGCCGTTGCTTGGGAATGGCAGGGACCCATTGAAGTATCCCAGGAGATGCGCAGCCTCCATCAGCAGCTCGAATTCAAAACTCCAGGTAAAGAAATCGTGTCCGTTGAATGGTGATGATGTCTGCAGTTTAATCACGTGTGAGAACTGCGCCTGGAGACTTAAAATCTCGTTTGGTGTTTGTTGTGATGCAGCTGCTGTTGGTTGGGCACGGGGCGGCATGAACTCGAACATCCCCGGTGAAGAGTGATAAGTCGCAAAGGTAGGCGCTTGATTGTGTCGCCCGAACGATGAGTTGTCGAGGCTCATCGGCGCTAATCCCATGTTTCCTCCGTTGCTCTGTGTTGAATGCGCAGGTGTCCTTGTCTGCTGCTGCTGCTCGAAGTGCGACATGAAGCTGAAGAACCTTTCCATAAGGTTCGGGTCCACGCTTGAAGAGGGTGATGGGGTCACCATTTCCGGTGCTCTTCGTGTTGTTTCTTGAGCAGCGCCGGTCTCGGTTTGTAGTCCTGAAGTATGCAATCCAGAGTTGCCGGGTTGAATGTCTTGGGCGCTGGGTGAGCCCGTAGAAGTCTTCTTGCCCTTGCTGTCCATGGCTTGTAATTAATGAAGTCGTTGAATTGCAGATTGTAGGTGGATCGTAGTTGCTGGGAGTTTGGTCTCTGACCAGCTCTCATACCATGTAGGGCTGAGAAAAGCCCTTATGATCTTTCCAGAGACTAAGTCCCAGTTGTAGAATGAGACTTGAGTAGTGCAGCGGAAGTTGAGGCAGTTGAACCCTTGTACTAGTATATGAGAACAAGTGATTGATTAAAGAAACAAGCATACAGCAATATATAGAAAATAAGAAAGCAGTTGTAGAATACAGTTGCAGGAACGGTTATCGAGTCGCACAGCGACTCGATTGTCGCTTCGGTTACCATCCGCGCTGTTGTAACGGTCAGTCGCAACCTCCAGTTGCGACCCTTCGAGTCCCTTCGCGTTCTTTGTTCGCCCCCTCGTGTAACCTCCGTTGACTCGCGTACCCGTTGCGGTCTTCCTCGAGTGTAGTGTTACACTTCAGAAACGCTTAAGTCCTTTGAGATATTTCCAACATGTTGTATAATTGGTAGGCTTGGTAGGTGTTATTGAAACCTACTGTAGAGGGTACAACCCCCCCCCTTGTGTGCCTCTCTTCTTCTCTCACCCTCTTTTCTCTCGTCAACTTTCTCCTAGCTAAACCCTCACGCCATTCCATGGCTTCCTACCATTCCTACTAGCCTAGCTTTCGTGAAACCTCCCCCATACTGCTCAGCAAGCCTCTTCCAATAGAAGTGCTATTAGACAGCGCTCTTAGAAAACTCACTTTTTGACCCAGCACATGAGCGCTTAATGCAAAGTGCTGGGCTTCTTCTATTCCAGATCCAGCACAAGTGCACCTGGAGTGGTATACAGGCAAACCGCATGTGCACAGACTTTCTGCAACAGCTACCCTGAAGGCAAAGCTCGCTCTATACAGGACCCTGGCGGGTCAATCAGAAGGCGTCCTTGCGAGCTCTGATCTCCCCCATGACATCCTCTGGGGCCTCTCTGCCTGTCACCGTCTGAAAGCATCGAGTGCACAACACATAGCAGGGCACATGAGAGAGTTATGTGTCCATGACACATGACAAGCATGTGCGGCCTTTAGCCCCAGCACACCACCCTAACGCAGAAAGAAAACTCTGGGCAGTTCGACATGGATGAAGGGGTTGTAGGTGAGGGTTGTAAATTTGCCCAGGCTATAAGTGTGGGCTTTTCAGGGTTGTAGGCGAGGGTTACGTGTGAGGAGGATTGTACCTGCATGCCGGGCAGCTCGACGCGCATGAAGGGGTTGTAGGTGAGCTCCTGTGCGAGCGTGGAGGGCACGGTGGGCAGGCGGTTCCGGCGCCGCTCCATGGCCCACTCCATCTTCTCCTGCGCTGCTGGGTTGCTGGGCTCCAGATACAGCGCAAACTTGAGGTTCTTCACCGTGTACTGGCGACGGTACAGCACAGGGAGGGTGCGGGGCGGGGTGTGGCACAGAGCAGGAGACAAGGTGAAGTGGGCACAGGGATGGTGTGACACAGAGAGCAGGAGGAGAGGAGGAAGGCACATTCCCACATCGTTTCAATGACATGGCATCTTCTGCAGTTTTCCATGTCAGCTCACCTCATGCGCTCACCTCATGCGCTCGCTCACCTCATGCGCTTGCTCACCTCGTGGCCGCAGTACACTTTGGTGGCAGGCGGCAGCATCTTGATGACCCGGCACAGAGAGTAGTACATGTCGGCCGGCGTGCCCTCAAAGAACCGCCCGCACCCGCCCACGAACTGAGAGTTTCGTGAGGGGAGAAGCGGGGAGGATGATGATCGGTCCGAGGAAGCATCCATTGCGAGTGACGGAAACGCAATAGACGAGAGAGGTGGAATGGGCAGGCTGGGGAATGGGTGAGCACAAGAATGGGTGGAGAGCGTACAAGGCAGTCACCAGTGAAGAGAATGGGGTCGTGCTGGCCGTTGTTGGCAGTCACAAAGTAGCAGATGTGCCCGTTGGTGTGCCTGCCGGGAGTCACGGTAGAATGTGAACGATAAAGGGGACGAGGGGAGGAGGGGAGGGAACATCAGAGCGAAGACTGAACATTCAATCCGTGACACTGGGCAGTCAACTCTTCATGAGGGTAGTGATGTCCACCAGTGAAAAAGGTGCGTATGAGACGCCATGGTGTCTTTCCAGTCCGCCCTTACCCATCCCCACCGCATTGGCCATCACATTGTTGGCGTCAGCTGACTTGCCTTTCGTGCCGTCCAGCTGACGTCCAGCTATCTTGACTGGCGTCCAGCTAACTGGCCTGGCGTCCAACAAACTGGACAAGCATCAAGCTAACTTGACTGGCGTCCAGCTAACTGGCCTGGCGTCCAGCTAACTTGCCTGGTGACCGCCAGAATGGGAGCTCTGACCGCCAGAATGGGGGCTCTGACCGCCAGAATGGGGGCTCTGACCGCCAGAATGGGGGCTCTGACCGCCAGAATGGGGCTCTGACCGGCAGAAGGGGGCTCTGACCGGCAGAAGGGGGCTCTGACCGGCAGAAGGGGGCTCTGACCGCCAGAATGGGGAATTTGACCGCCCGAATGGGGCTCTGACTGCCAGAAGGGGGCTCTGACCGCCAGAATGGGGGGTCTGACAGCCAGAATAGGGATTCTGACCACCAGAATGGAGCTTTGACCGCCAGAATGGGGGGTCTGACAGCCAGAATAGGGATTCTGACCACTAGAATGGAGCTTTGACCGCCAGAATGGGGGGTCTGACAGCCAGAATAGGGATTCTGACCGCCAGAATGGGGCTCTCTGACCGCCAGAATGGGGATTCTGACCGCCAGAATGGGGGTTTTCTGACCGCCAGAATGGGGCTCTCTGACCGCCAGAATGGGGCTCTGACCGCCAGAATGGGGCTCTGACCGCCAGAATGGGGCTCTGACCGCCAGAATGGGGCTCTGACCGCCAGAATGGGGCTCTGACCGCCAGAATGGGGCTCTGACCGCCAGAATGGGGATTCTGACCGCCAGAATGGGGGTTTTCTGACCGCCAGAATGGGGCTCTGACCGCCAGAATGGGGAATTTGACCGCCCGAATGGGGCTCTGACCGCCAGAATGGGGTTCTGACCGCCAGAATGGGGGGTCTGACAGCCAGAATAGGGATTCTGACCGCCAGAATGGGGCTCTGACCGCCAGAATGGGGCTCTGACCGCCAGAATGGGGGCTCTGACCGTCAGAATGGGGATTTTGACCGCCAGAATGGGGGTTTTCTGACCGCCAGAATGGGGGTTCTGACCACCAGAATGGGGTTCTGACCGCCAGATTGGTGGCACTGACCGCTAGAATGGGGCTTTGACCACCAGAATGCGCCTAAGCAAACAAGTGAGAGGAGGAGAAGAGAAGGGAAGTGGCGTCTGACCCCGGGGTGTGCAGCGCCTTGATGGTCATGGTTTCGTCCCCGAACTGGAAGCTGTCGCCATGCTTGAGCTCGTTGGTGCACGCGGGGATGGCGTCCTTGCTGCCCCCGTACACCCGCACCCCCGGCACCACCCGCTTCATCTCCTCGTTGCCGCCCGCGTGGTCCCTGGTGCACACAAGGGGGTGCGGGAGAGGGGGAAAGAGAGAGAGGACGGGGTATGAGGGGGAATGCGGACGGAAGAAGAGGATGCAGAGGATCAAGGACATGCAGGAAGAGAATCGCCCCCTTGGGTCGCATCCCCCAGGCGGGGGGCGGGGGGCGGGGGCGGGGGGCGGGCGGCGGGAAGTGAACCCAGGACCTCTCCTTTTTGAGGGTTTTTTTTTCTTGGACCACAAGGACACTAGGTGTGAAAAATAAGTGGCATTAATAAACTCCCATCCCTTTGCCACTCGGGGAAAATGGCCACAGCGGCAACCAACATCAAGAAGCCGAATAAAAAGTTGTCAACCGCGCTACTGACCTTGCTGGCCAACTCCCTCACTTCGCTGTCCCCCCCTCTCTCCCCTGTGGGTCTCACGTACAGTGGTCAACAGCGTACAGCACGCCTGATCCATCCCTTTCTCTCTTTTCGGATCCCGCCTGTCACCTCCCTGTGGTGGTGCAAACCCCCCTTTGGTCTCACCCCCCTGGGTCTCACCCCCTGTGGTCAACGACCTCTGCCCCCAGCGCACGCTCCCAACCATGCCTTTCTCCCACCACCCTTATCGGGATCCCGCCTGGTACCGCCTCTGTCACCTCCCTGTCTTCCCCTCCACACGCGTCTCAACTGGTTGTGCACCTGTGGTGGTGCGTGGTGAGCACGGCGACGACGGAGAGCCCCTTGTGCTTCGCGGCATTCATCACCAGCGTGGGGTCCGCCGGGTCCACCGCCGCCGCCTCCTTGCTCTGCTCGTCGTACAGCCTGCGCGCGCGCAGTCACGCGCGCGCGGAGTGGCGCGAGATTGGCGCGGGGGGATGAAGGGTTGCGCGGACGCGGATGGAGGGAAGTGGGGGAAAGAGGGACGGTGGGAATGAGAGGAGGGTTCCAGGGGACGAGGTAGGATAAAACACTAACGCGGACGAAGAGTGGGGTTTCTAGGCTGTGACTGTGCGGTCGCTTGAGAAAGCGAGCATGGATGAAATGGCGGGGAATGGACGAATGCGGAACGGCAAGGCCATGGAGCGACGAGCAGCGGACGGACGAGAGGACGGAGATAGGCTGGAGCGAACGCGCAGGACGGTGCAACGCGTGAGGTTTCTAGAGCATAGGGTCGAAAGCGATGAGTGCCTTACAGATACGCATAGTTGTCTTGGAGGACTGGCACTATCATGACCTTCATGGTGTCGCGCTGCACGCGGAAAGGGTGCAGAGGCTAAGACGTCGACTAGAGGGGAAAAGCGTAAACTGCGCGGGGAAAAAAACTAGGTGCGTTTTGCTAAAGCGGGACCGTGAGGGAATGCAGCATTGAGGGAAGCAGCGGCATTTGGAGGCGAGAAAGGAAGGAAAACAAGCAACGAGCGCACACCTGTGACGAGACGGAAAGGAGGTAAGGTAAGGCTAGGCTGGGGGAAGTGACGGAGACTAGGGATTGCACGACCGTCTGCAGCGGGCTGGGAGGAAAAGCCAGGACGTCCGCTCTGTCCGTCCGCTCTGTTCATTCCGCCCCACAAGTCTGCAATAAGGCGAACAGAACTTTATTATGCTGTGCAATGCATAAATTTCATCAGATTATTAGCGAGGCCTTACTTGCCAATAATATGTTTAAGTAAAAAGTATACTGGATAAATTAAACATAATAAGCATTTTTAATTTATCAGCAATGAAAAAAATATCAAGCTGCATGTGGCCTGTCTAAGTTGCCTTGAAATTAGACCAATCCATATAAGCGCTTCTTCGAGTGTAGTCATTTCAAATCACCCGTTATGCGGGCAGCACAAGAGGTCTTCCATCGTTCCGCTATTTTCGCTGACACGCAAGCAACCGCCGCGTTGCATTCAAGTATGCCGTCCTCGTTATGCGCACCCGCAAATCCCCAGGCAAAGTTTGGACAAGAAGCAGACATGGTCCAGTATCGGAGCCATGCCATGAGGTATTTGTCAGTGCTCCACTTCGCCACCACTGCTGTTCCATCACTAGACGAGCCATCAATCCAGTGCTTAATGGTGGTATCGTTGCTGCTGCTTTAGGCCTTTCTATGGCTTCCGATTGGGGAGTCCTTTGGAATCAGGAGGCTAGCGGTAGCTGCAGTATGCGAGCGTCAGCCTTGCCAATGTTCGAAGCTTCTTGACCTATCCTCTTTCGCATGGACCTCTGACTCAATCGCGTCATTTGGGGGGCGTTCTCCGTTCCTCCGTCGCGTATTTCCTCAAGTCGTTGCGTCTTGTGATAGCATCGCAGCGCCTTACCAACAGAACTCCGCTGTTTGTGGCGCTTCGCTTGGCTTGCCTTTCGTTGACGCGGCGTGCCGACCAGGACGCAAGACAGCAAAGAGCGAGCGAAAGAGCAAGCTGCAGCGGCCATGGAGACCGACGGCTTATCGCCGGCTCTCCTAACATTCCGCGTGTCCCTCGTCGAAACCCTCGAGGCGTATCTCGGCGTAAGCGTCTCACGGTCGGAATCCTCGGGTGGAACAGGCTCAATGGTCGCTCTGGTCGACAGGTCCTACGGGTGTCAGTAGGCTCAATAGTATCCAAGAGCTTATCCCCGAACAATTGCTCTTCACACAATCGACGACAATTTATCGTCCCCATTTTTTTCCGTTTCATATTCCGTTTTCTCTTTCCGTTTTTTCTAACAGAAGGAGACGATGCAGCCGTTCGTGAGTGCGGACGACCATGCCAGGTGAACCTCTCGTTCCCTACGCTTCCCTCCTTGTATCAATCAGTCCGCCGTTCCATCCTTCTGCCGTTCTCGCAGTTGCACCGCTCCCTACCCGCCCTCGCTCTTTTGTTATCCTCGGAACGCTTTGCCCGGGAAATGACATGAGCAAGCACGGCGATCTTATGCGCTGCTGCTGTCGTGCCTGGGTGGCCTGTTCCGCCTCCACTCGTCCGCGGTTTCGTCTCCCCGTCCGCATCCATCCGCCATCTCTGCCCTCCCTCTTCGCCCTCACGGTTCCCCTTCCGCAGGCCGGCCAAGATTCGCCGAACCAAGGGGTTAGCACCGGTGGGGGGCTTCGGGTCCGCTGCGCGCGGCACGTTGCCTCAGAGCGATCAGTTTCCGCTGGAGTTCAACCACCTGCTCGCCACCGCCACCTTCGCTGTGCGGCCCCTTCCCCTCCTGCTTCCCCTCCTGCTTCCCCTCCTGCTTCCTCTCCTGCTTCCTCTCCTCTATTTCCTCGCACCTACCCCCAGACCCTCTCCGCTCCCCCTGATTTTTCCAAGCGCACTGTCTTTTTCTGACTTTTCTCGCCTTATGCCCCGTCACTCATGCTGTCGTGACTGTGTCACCTTTCTGCACGTCGCTCTCCGGCCATGTGGGTCGTCGTCCAGGAGCCTGAGGACGTGGCGGCAGTGGTGGAGTCTCTCTTCGCCTCGCTCCTTCTCAACTGCTGCACGCAGCCCTTCCAGGTGCCAACGCTCCTCCTCCTCAGTCGTCGTCGGTCCCATTCGGCCTCTTTATTTCCGTGAGCTGCTGTTGCGAAAATGTTCACAAAAGGGAAGGGAGGTTGCGAGAAGTGTGGTTCGCAGAGAAGAGAAGAGCCTTCATGACTAGTCTTCTCTCTCCATGGCTCGACCTCATCTCCTCTTCTTCTGTCGCCTCCTGTCCCTCGCCGCCACGCGCCTCTGAAGGAGCCTGACTCCTCTTCTTCTATCCTGAGCCATGTTCAGTGGATCGGAGCAGCTGTACGGGCCGTCCGTCCGTCCATTCCCTCGCTGCTCACTCTCACTCCGCCCCTCTCTCGCATAAGCCCTCTTACTTTCCTCCTGTTTCCTGCCATCGCCCCTCCACAGGTTGACTTCCTCCTCTCGGTCCTCCCAAGCCTCGCTGCCTCCCGCGCTCTCTCCTGGTCCTCCTTCCTCCCTACCCTCTTCTCCCTCCTCCTCTCCCGCTATCCCACCATCTCACTCAGACAACTCCCCGGGACGCATCACGCCCTCATTACCCCCGCCTCCTCCTCCTCCTCGCCCCAACCCTCACCAGCAGCAGCCGGGGCTGCGGGCAACGCGTCAGCAGCTGCTGGTCCTGCTGCTGCCGCTGCGACTCCTGGCTCTGGCGCTACTGGCGCCCTTCCCCCTCTCGCGCCCACTGCTGGCGGGGCAGTAGAAGCAGGAGGCAGTCTGCTGCCGGGCTTGTCTAAGCCCAGTTCCTCTAATCCGTCCAGGCCGGGAGGACTAGGGCCTGCAGGCGGGCGGGAGACAGACAGCGTTAGAGGCCGGGAAGGCACAGGAGGGAGGCAAAGCCCTTTTGCTGGAGCTGGCCCGTTGTCTCCCTGGGGTAGACACGGTGGGAAGGGCCCCTGGGGTGTTGGACGGTTCACGCAGGGTGGGGGGAAGGGGCGCGCGGTCGGGGGAGGGTGGGAGGCGGAGTGTGGTGTTCCGTGGTGGGTGAAGGGGATGGTGTGTAAGGTGATTGAAGCAGCAGCAGAGTCCCACGACCTCAAGGCCCTCCCCGCCCTCGCGTCTCTGCAGCTGCTGCTCACGTGGCTGCTGGAAGACCTCGCTGAAAGGGCGGCGGCTGCTGCTGCCACTGACGCTGCAGCCTCTGCCTTAGCTGCTGGGCATGCTGCAAGGCTGCCGGCCTCAGCAGCAGTGCTGGCCACAGAAGAGATCCCAGACAGGTTAGCAGTCTCTTTACACAGAGCAGCAGTGGCAACGCCAGCAGGAGGACGAGGAGCGGCTGGTGGAAACGCGGGTGGGGCTGCAGGGGGCACCAGTGGGGCGGCAGGGGGCGCCAGTGGTTGGAGTGCGGGCTTCTCCCTTGTGGCGTGCCAGGCTGCCAGCCAGAGACGCAGAGGGGCGTTTGGCCCTGGAGGGGGGAAGCGGGGACGAGCAGGCGCGGCAGGAGCGGGTAGAGCGGCGCAGGAATGGCTGGTGGTGTGCGTGCGGGTGGTGGAGCGGTTAGTAGACGACGGCACATGCCACGTGCCTGTGTGCACGCTGATTCAAGCGCTGGACCCGTACCAGCTCCATCTGCTCGCCTCGTTCTCCCCGCCGCACCCTGCCCGCGCTCTGGCGTGCCGGGTGGCAGCGCGCAGGGAGGCCGTGGTGGGGTATCTGCGCTTCCTAGACGACCCCCTGCTCTGCCCCTCCTTCACCTCCACTGCCCGCCCCCCTGTCTTCACCTTCCGGTCGTTCCTGGGGGAGCAGGTGTATGGCCAGGTGGGTCTTCCATTCTTGATCACGCGCCACCTCAGGCCTCTCCCTCACTTCTCTTCTGTTCCATTCTACCATCGCATCCCGCTCTTCTGTCTGCTCTTGTAACCTCACTGCTCCAATCCTCCCGCTTCCTTCTCCCACGCTGTCCTGCACGGGGCTCCTCTCGCCCTCTCTTGCTTTCCCTCCCTCCTTGGTCCACCCCAGGAGGCGGCGGAGCAGGTGGTGCCGCGCTCCAGTGACTGGGCTCGTGCTGTGCGCTGTCTGCGTCAGGCCCTGCACAGCAACCCCAACTCAGACTGGTGGCGCCGAGTGCTGCTGCTCGCGCCCTGCTTCCGCCCCCTCCAATACCCCAACCCCGCTGCCGCTGCCGCAGCTGCTGCAGCAGCCAAGGGAGGAGCTGCAGCAGCAGCAGCAGGGGCGGCGGCTGCTGGTGCTGCTGGTGGTTCTGGTGTAGGGGGGGCAGGTGGGGCAGCAGGGGGGGGAGCAGGAGGAGCAGGGGGGAACAGTATTGCAGGAGGTGGCAGCATTGGAGGGGTAGCAGCAGTGTCAGGCGCTCAAGGGAGCGGGATGGGTGCGGCAGGAGCAGCAGCAGGCGTCACTCCCACTGGTGCTGGAGCGTCTGGTCCGTCCCCCACAGCAGCAGCAGCTGCAGCAGCCGCGGCGGCGGCAGCAGCGGCAGCAGCAGCAGCGACACTGCCTGTGGTGGGGGGGGGTCAGCTGCCGTTTCTGAGCTCCACTCTTTCCCACGCCATGCCTCAGTTCTCGTCTGGCATGTTGTGTGAGGCGCTCATAGACCACATCTCCGAGCTCCTCACTCTCTCTGCTGCCGCCTCTGCCGCAGCTGCTGCTGCTGCAAACGCCCCTGGTAAGACCTCTTCATCTTATCACCCCCTCTCACACTTGCCCCCCACACTGTGCCTATTCCTTTCTGTTTTACCCCGTTTCGCCGCTCCTCCTCGCCTCCCCGCCCACCACTTCGCCCACGTCTCTGCAACTCCATTCCCCATGTCTCCGCAACTCCATTCCCCACGTCTCCTGTGCCCCCTGTATCAGGCGAGGTGGGGTGGGTGGACAGTGCAGGAGTGCCGGTGGACAGTGAGGCGCCGGCGGCGGGGCTGTGGCAGCAGTGGCTGGTGCTGGCGGACATATTTTACTTTGTCGTGCGCAACGGCTTTGTTGACTTTGTGGACTTTGTCAACCGCTGCTCCACGCGCTTCCCGCCCTCCGCCCCGCCGCCCACCAACCACGTCACGTGGCTGATAGCGCAGGTGTTCCGCCTGGACAACGTGGCGTCTGTACTGAGTGCTGACCCCAACATGGTGAGATGAGACGAGATGAGATGAGATGACATCGGCCCAGAACGAGCCGCCACCGTCCGCCAGCCACAGGATGTGATGTGGCTCATAGTGCAGGCAGGTGTCCCACCTGGATAACGTGGCGTCTGTTCTGAGTGCTGAACCCAACATGGTGAGGGCGATGGTCCTGAAACTATGAATAATGAACCCCAACATCTGTACTGTAGCGGCCCTGTCCATCATCGCCCCTTGACACCCTTATTCCACACTCTTCCCCCCTAAATGCCTCCCGCCCCAGCTGGCGACGGTGCGCAAGATAGTGGCGCTGCAGGTGACGGAGCGTGCAGGTGTGAGGGGGTCGGGCGCGGGCGTGTTGCTGGAGTACATCGGGAGTGTGCAGATCCTGCGCCTGTGGAACCTGCAGAAGAGCATCAAGGACAGCCTGGACGAGGCGCGCCTCGCGGACTACAAGCAGCAGGGCAAGGTGCTCGACGAGTTCTGGAGGAAGATCAACAAAGGTGAGAGGGGGGGTGCGTGATGTGGTTATGCTTCTGCTGTTTCTGGGCTTGATGTGGTTCTTGTGTGTGTTGCTATTTGTGTCACAACAGTAGGCGTCCCGTGTGTTGTCCGTGTTTCTCCTGGGTGTGTGTTTTTTTCTGCTATTCCGGCCCTTTCTGGTGTGGCCAGTTTTATGCTCCCTCTAAAGCTTTATGGTGCTCCTTCTTGGGGTGTTGCGATGCAATGCTGTGCGGTGTGGTGCGGTGGTGTGAGCAGACGAGTTGCGGCTGCAGTACGACCACCTGGACGACCACAGCACGGGCATGGTGTGGGTGCTCAGCCACACCATGAGCCACCCCGTCACAGAAGCGCTCTTCAAGTGGCTTACCGCCCCTGTACGTCCTCCCCCCCTTGCACTGCCCTTCTCTTCCACATGCTCTCGCTCTGCTTGTCCCCTCAACCACTCTCTCTCCCTCCCACTTGATTCTTTGTCCTCCCCTCCCTCTTGAAAGGGGTGCATTATGCATCTGCACATGGGAAAAAACCATGTTAGTTCCATCATTGAATTACAAATTTATTGCTGAAATTGAAGACTTTAATGAAGCTTTCCTCAGAAGTCAAAGCAGAGGGCTCGGCGGATGGCGGATTGTGGGCGAAATTAGGTAGGCGAATTGGCGGATGGTGGATGGGGGAAGGAGGTTGGCAAGATCATCACTTCAGCGTCTTCAAGAAGCTCCACCATTCACCAATTCGCCTGCCTCATTTCGCCCAAAATCCGTCATTTGACGAGCTCTTCAGTTTGGCTTCTTAGGTTTTTTCCATTTAGGCTTTCAATTTCAGCATACATTTGCCTTTCAAGGATGAAATTCACTTTGTTCTTTTTTTCATGTGCCGATGCGTTGTGCACTCCTTCCATGTAGTCCTCCCCTCCCTGCTTCCTTCTCGCCTTCTCCCATTCTCCTCTTTTCCCGTGCACCCCTTTTGCCTTGCTCCCCCCACTCACGTCCTCCTTCCGTGTGCATGTCCGTGCCTTCCGCCACTGCCGCCTTGTGTGTGCCAGGGCGTGAAGGACATGGGCGGGGGCATGCGCATGTGGAACGAGGCGCGGCTGCTGCCCACGAGTCTGCTGCAGGGGCTGTCGCTGCAGGTGGCGCAGCGCCTCGCAGCCACGCTGCAGGAACTCATTGCCAAGGCCCATGAGGTCAGACACGATGTGTGCTGTGCTGTGGTATGTTGTGATATGTTGTGCTGTGATGTGGTGGTGTTTGCTGATTGAGAGAGTTGTGCTGTAGCATAGCGCCGTTCACCAGCAATGCGCTATACCGAGAAATCTTTGTTGTGACGATTAAACGCCTTTAATTCCCTCTGTCACCCCCTCTCTCCCCTTTCCTTCCTCTCCCCTCCCCCCCAGAACGGCTTCCCCAGCATTGCGATGGTGGAGACGTTTGCCCGGCTGCTGCTGGTGGCGCCACACACGCTCAACCAGACCCAGACCATCCACCCGCCACACACCTTCCTGCAGACCAACACCCGCCAGCACATCCTCCAGGTAACCAGTACACACTCGCACTGGTAGTTGTAACACTTGTGCTATGATATGTTCAGCTGCTGTGTACACAGGCCAAGTTGGCGTCTTATGGTGTGTCGTTTATTTTTCAACCCTGCATGCTCAACTCCACGCCGCTTCACGGGTAGCTAGCAGCTACCCTTCAGCCATCCGCCCTTATGAGCTGTGAACTCCACTGTCTCTATTGCCCCTGGCACTGCCCCTGTGTCCCTCCCTCCCTACTACCCACGACCCCTCCCTGGCTGCAGGCGTCTCTGGAGAAGTACGTGCCGGGGGAGTCCAACAACGCAGTGCCGCTGCTGCTGCTCGAACTCATCAACTACCGCCTCATCCCCTTCTTCAGGTGCACAACCCCCACACGCACACCCACACCCACAGACACAGCCATGGTTTCCGGACCGCGCCCTCACTACCTTGATTGTAGCACTCGCTTTAAGGCACCCTGTGACTTGCCCTTCAAGGTGTTCAAATTTCGGCGACCGCATTTGCTTTTCGTGAGCCGCGGTTCTTCCTCTCAGCGATCAAACGCAGCTGTACTGGTTGGAGGATTGCAAAGAGGATGGCAGGACGTGCCATGGCCAGATGATGCGCAAAAAGAACGGAGATCTGATTCCCCTTGCCCGAGCATGTAGCCGCCCGCCCGCTCCCTGGGACTCCAGCACGCTACCACAGACGTGTACGTTACGTTGTGATGGTGATGCTAGTGCTGGTGTTGTTGGGGAGGCGTTGGTTAGGTGGCTGTGTCTTGCTGGCTGGGTAGTGAAGAGATCCATTGCACGTGCTGTATGCCATGCCATTGCGTGCATGCAGTACTGATGGCCTTTAGTGTGGATTCTGTCATTCCCTCCAGTAGCGTCTTGATCCCCCATTTCTTGTCCCCTGTCGTCGTTGTCCCTAAGTAAGAACCCCTTTTTCTTGCCGGCGCCCCCCCTCCCTACCCCCCACTTCGGCCTTCCATGTCCCACGGCACGGTGCTGCGGTTGCCCTTATCTTCTCGCTCGTTCTCGACTCAAAGCACCTGCTTCTTCACAAGTTCGCCTGTCTGATTCCCCTTTTCATGCTCCCAAGTTTCCTTCTTCCCCACCTCCCCACCTCCCGCTCTACCTCTCCACCCCTTCTCCCTCTCTCGTCTCCCCTCCGCCTCTCCTTCACCCCGCCCCCCCACCGCCCTTTGCCTCCCCGGCCTCTTGGGTCCCCCCTGCCTCTTCCCCCCCTTCTGCCTCTCGCCCCCCCCCAGGTACCACGGCAAGATGCGGGGGCTGATTCTGGACCTGGCGAAGATCCTGATAAAGGTGAAGGTCGTGGCGGGGCAGCACCGGCTGTACCGCCTGGCAGAGAACACGGCCATCAACCTCATCATGTCGCTCAAGGAGGTCATGCTCGTCAAAAAGGACTCCAAGGTGCGCTGCTCTCATCATGCTCTGCAAGGTGCATGTGCTGCTTCTGGTGGTGCCTCTGGGCTGGGGGGGCTTGTTGTGGTGCTCGCTTGTTGCTGCAGCGATCTGGCATGTTGATGGCCACCTGTTCTCCAGGATGTGCGTGCGTCCCTCTTCTCCCCCCTCTCATCCTTGCCCCATCTCGCTCTCCCTCCGCCCTTCCCGTCTGACCCCCCTCCCCTTCCCCCCCTCTCCCTCCTCCAGAACGCAGCCACAGAGTTCTCGGAGACGCTGAACCGTGTGATGGTGCTGAATCTGGCGATCACGATGAAGACGCGGGGCATCCACGAGTTTGAGCAGATCGTGGTGCTCATGCCGGCGCTGGACCAGATGCTGGCCGCGTCCACGCACCGCTGGAGCGAGAAGACCCTGCGCTACTTCCCCCCGCTGCTGCGCGACACACTCTCCAAGAGGCCGGATTGCCGCGGCCAGCTGCTGCAGGAATGGATGCAGGTGGGTTGGGGGGGGGGGGGGGAAGGAGGGGTGTGGGAGGTTTGAGTGTGTGCAAGTGTGTGCGTGTTAGTGACTGTGTGATGGTGTGTGTGTAACTGTGACACGCTCTCCAAGAGGCCGGATTGCCGCGGCCAGCTGCTGCAGGAGTTGATGCAGGTGCGCGGGGGGGAGTAGGGGGAGGTTTTTAGTGTGTGTGTGTTTGTGACACTGTGAGTGTGTTTGTGAAACTGGTTGTGCGGGCTCTGTAATATGTGCATATAAGCTGCTGCCAGATTTAGTCCTGAGTCCTGACCCAATCGAGCCCCGCTCTTACCACTCTTTTCCCTCCGCCTCTCCCTCTCCTGACGCCTCCCTCCCTCCCTCTCCTCCCTCTCCCCCCTCGGCCAGGTGGAGCAGCTGCTGCGGCAGCGGCAGCTGCTGCCAGCGCAGGGGGCGCAGCGCGCGGCAGCGGCAGCGGCGGCGGACCCGATGGCGGCGCTGAACCTGCTGGCGCAGCTGCCCCCGCACCTGCGCCACCTGCTCTGCGCCGCCGCCTGGATCCTGCACGACGCCTCGCCCGGCTCCGTCAACCTGCAACACCTGGTGGGGAGGGGGGGGCGGGGAGGGGGTAAGGGGGGGAAGGGTTTGAGGGGAGGGAGGTGTATGGGGACGAAGTGGATGGAGGGTTGTGGGGACGGAGAGATAAGGGGTAGATGAATGCTGCTTGACTGTGTGTCAGAGTGTGGGGAAAGGTGGACAGGCAGCTATTGAGGCGGCTCAAAAGTAGGTGGACTGGCGGTGTTGGTTTCAAAGGACAGTAACAGCAGCCAACCTTGGCGGTCCGCTTGATTTCAAAGATTGTGCATGCACATGCATGGACATGAATGGAGGTGCAGCCTGCAGGGGCCTCTTCCCTGTCCCTTATCTCACCCACCACCATGTTCCCCGTCCGTCTCCTATGGGCCCTTCTTTGTGCTTGGCCATGCGTGGCCGCACAGGGTCTCATGCTGAGGGACATGTCGCCGCACGATGTGACTCGCAATGTGTATGCGCTGGTGGACGTGCTCCTGCACCACGTGCAGGTGAGCGCTGCTTGCATTGCGATAGGTATTAGCCCCCCCCTGTCCAAGCCATGATACAAGAATCCCTCTTCCCATCACGATCCTGCCTCCTCCCTCTTCCCTCTCGCCCCCACCCCATCTCTCACTCCGCTACAGCCTTATCCAAATCCATTCTCTAGATCTTTTCGCAAACTAGCCACACTCGCCCACCCTCTTGCCACTACTCCTCCCTTCCCCCCCCCCCCCCGCACCCAGGTGCAAGTGAAGCAGCGCACGCAGCTGAAGCAGATCCTCCTAGCCGCCTCAGCCGCACTCGCCGACTGGATCTTCGTGAAAGAGCTCCTCCCCGCCGACATCGTCCTCCTCGCTCTAGCGGACCGTGACGATGGCTCCCCCAACAGCCTGCGCCTGGTGGTGGGGCTGCTCATGGACCGCCCCGAGCTGCAGAAGCGCGTGGCGGCGTACTGCGAGGCGCGCGGCCAGCAGGAGCACTGGACCGAGGTGGGGCCATTCCGCACGGTGGACCCGCTGGAGGCGCTGGGGAGCAACCTCATGGGGAATGACAAGTGAGTTGGGGTCATAGAAAGAAGTGTAGTTTTTGAGGCACCTCAAAAATAGGCGCTGGGGAGCAACTTAATGGGGAACGACAAGTGAGTTGGGGTTGTGGGGCCACTAGTGCATGGCAAGGGGGATTGCACCTTGATTGAGAACGGCGCAACTCTCCGTACTCTCTCCTCCATGCGCCCTGCAGGCAGCCGGTGTTCTTTGACCACATGGTGCTGCGGGTGGTGCCAGTGGTGGCCCTCATAGTGCACCGCCTCATCGAGAACGACGCCATGGAGACGGCCGACCGTCTGCTCGCGCTCTACAGCACGCCGCCCAAGCACTTGTTGACCTACCACCCGTCGCGCTTCGCGTTTGTGCGCGACACCCTCGCGTACTTTTATCCGGCGCTGCCCAACCAGCTCGTCATCCGCCTGCTCAGCATCCTCGACCTCACCCGGGTGAGTGGGACCTCACAAGGGTGCGCATATTCCAATCGTGGTGCTTGAATACTGGCGGCTGTGCGTGAATACTGGCGGCTGTGCATGAATACTGGCGGCTGTGCGTGAATGCTGGCGGCTGTGCGTGAATGCTGGCGGCTGTGCTTGAATACTGGCGGCTGTGCTTGAATGCTGGCGGCTGTGCTTGATCTCTGTGGTTCCTGTTGGTCCTTCTTTGGGCATTGCTGTCACGTGCATTTGCCTCTCCCTTCCGCATTCCACTTGCATTTTCAAGTGCATGTCGATCCAGCTCTTGTTCGCACAAATCCCATCTTGCCCCAACGTCCTCAATTCTGTTTCTCTCCGCTTTTCCTGCCCTTCTCTCCTCTCTTTTCTATTCCCCCCTCCCCATCTCCACCCGTCCTCTCTTCACAGATTCCCTTCGCAGAGGCCTTCCTACGGCAGATGGACCCCTCTCTCTCCTCCACCGTCGACCTCCCCCCCCTCTCCTACTTCCTCCACCTCCTAGAAACCCTTTGCCTGCACATCATCCCCTCTCTCCCCGCCCCTCTCCCTGCCGCCTCCGCCCCGTCCCCCTTCGCCCCTCTCTCTCCCTTGGACTATTTCCACTCCATCACCTCTCCCCCTCCCGCGCCTCCCGTCCAGCCTGTTCAAATCCCAGGGCTAGGGTCTTTCTCACTGTCCTCCCTCTCCCCTTCGTCTCCCCTCCCTACTGCCCTCACCCTCCGATCCCCGCCCTTCTATGAGCACCTAGACACAGGAGGGTTCGCACAGCTAGTGCTTGAAACTGCCGTGCTAGAAATCCTCTCCCTCCCTCTCCCCCCTCCGGGTAACTCCCCTATGGAGATCCTCCGTGCTCTGCTTGCTGCTGTGTCCTTCCCTCCCCTCCACCCCAACGCGGTTGAAGCCTCTGCTGCTGCTGCTTCTGTGGCCGCGGCCGCAGCAACAGGGGACGGAGGGGGGAAGGGGGCTGGAGGAGGGGTAAGGGCAGGGGAGGGCGATGGGGCAGGGGGGGAGATGGATCCAATGATGGTGGATGGGGGGGAGATGCTTGATGACATCAAGGAGGTTACGGTGTTACCACCCAGGGAGATGTGGCCGCTCCTGCCACAAGCCCTGGGGTTGCTCCTGGCGAATCTGCCCCCTGTGTTCCAGTCCACGCTGTACACTATCATCGCCCAGAAGGTGATTGAGTTCCTGCCGGCCGCTGCTGCCAACGCCCCTCCTGCACCTGCCGCCTCTGCTGCTGCTGCTGCTGCAGCTGGTGCTGCTGCTGCTGGTGCTTCAGGTGCTGCTTCTGGGGCTGCGGCTGCTGCTGCTATGGGCACTGCCGCGGCTGCTGGTGCTGCGGGTGCGGCTGCTGGAGATGGTGCGGGAGGAGGGGGTGGGGCTGGAGGGGCGGGGGAAGGGGAGGGTGAGGAGGGGCAGGTGGATGAGGTGGGAGCGGGGTCACGGCTGGTGGACATGCTGCTCATGGACCCCTCATGGGCCATTGGCAATGCCACCTGCACTGAGCTCAGTAAGACTCTCTTCCCCTCCATTCTCTGCTCTGTCAACACCCCACCTTTCTCTTCCTCCCCCACCCTTCCGCTCTCTCTTCCTCCAGTCCCCACCCACTTCACACCACTTCCCACCCCCAATTTCTTCAAGCCTCTCTTTTCTCATTTCTCAAGGTCCACACTTCTCCTATTCCCCACTGCTCTGTGCTTACTTCCTTCTCCCCCCAAACCCCCACCACCCCCCCCCCCCCCTTCCTTTGCTGGTCCCCATCAGGTGTGTGGACAGCAGCGGTGCACGCAATGATGTACGCGCTGCCCTTTGACCGCATTGAGGGCGCCCACGCCCTGCTCGTGCTGCAGCGCCCCATCCGCTCGCCCGCCCACCTGCGCCTCGTCTTCCGCCTCGTGGCGCCCATCCTGCCGCGCACCCCCATCTCCAAGTCACTCTTCGCCAAGGTAGCCCTCCATGGCATCGCCTACATCTCACCCTGCATCTCAATTTGCATCTCATCCTGCATCTCATTTTACCTTTTAAAAGGTTTCCAGTCTCAAAGTCCCTGTTTGCCATGGTATGCCTTTGTGTTACGGCCATCCTGCATCTCGTTCTGCCCATGATCCTGTGCGTTATCCTGCACGTGACCCTGCATAAGTTCCTCTCTTTGATCTCGCCTGGGCGCCCTGCTGGTGCAGTGCAGTGCAATTGCTCAGCTGTGTTCTTTCTATGGACTGCACCGAGACACACTCACCTCGTCCCATCCCCCATCTCTCTTGGAAACCCTGACCCCCTCTCCTGACCGCCACCAGACCATAGCGCTGCTGTTCTCAGCGATAGCAGATGTGTTTGGAGTGAATTCATCACCGCAAGTGACAGGGCCGGCCTCATCCATAACTGACGTCATCGACTTTATGTGAGTCCTGCCTTTGGCTTCAGGTGGGTCTCTGATCGCCTCTTTCCAAACTCACTCGTTGCAGGAGGATTGTCTGCTTCCAGTACTGTGGGGGAGAGAGGGGGTTCACTCCATGGCATGCTGTACGGCTAGTCATGGTCTCATCCCTCGTTGCATGCCAGTCCAATCCCATGAGATTTCTCCCCCTTCCTTCCTTCCTTCCTTCACCCGTCGTGCATTTTCCACTGTAATTAACCACCTAGCGACTTCCTCCTCCTCGTCCCCACACTGCACCATCCCAGGCACCACGCGCTCCTCCTAGAGGGAGGCATGCCGACCCTGGCAAATCGGCGGCCCAAGCCGGAGACTCTGCAGCTGTGCGCCAAGGCCGTGGAGCGCCTGAGGGAGGACGTGCGCCTGCCGTTCCGCCACCTCTGCATCGACCCCTCGCTCTCCGTCTACGCCGCCACACACCCCAAGCTCACCCGCTCTGCTGCTGCTGCTGCTGCTGCTGCGGCTGCTGGTGGTGCTGGTGGTTCTGCTGCTGCAGCGGGTGGAATGGGTACAGCCGGTGGTCTTGCTCGTACTGTTTCTGCAGCTGCAGCTGCAGTTTCGGCTGCTGCTCCAGGGGGCGTTCCCAATGCCACTGGCGGCGTGCCACTTGCTGCTTCTGCTTCCCGCTCTGCTGCAGCCGCTGCCCTGGACTCTGCTGTGGCTCCCACTGCAGCCATGGCAGGGCCGGCAGCAGGGGGAGCAGGAGCAGCAGGAGGGGCAGGGATGAGAGTGGGCCATGCGGGGTTGGGAGGAGGGGAGAGTGTGTCCATGGTAGGGCAAGTGAACGCGATGGGTGCTGGTATGGGGATGAACCCCAGTGGAAGTGCTGCTGGTGGAGCGCTTGGCTTGGCTAGGCAGGGCTCGTACATGTCAAAATAGCAGTGAGATTAATGTACCGTACCTTGTTTCTTTGCAATAAAAAGGCGGTATTCGTTGTGGCAGCTACATCCTCTTGAGAGGCGGTACTAGTTGAGGTACCGTACCATAAGGGTGTGTATCAAGTGCAAGGAAAACGACGTTACCCGACGTCCCAGCGCGGCAGTGTGTTTTCTCACGGTCGTGAAGCTTCCTGTGTGTTCGGAGGCGGTGACTCGATGTCACAAGCGTGACGTCCAGGGCTCAAAATAGCCGGGTGAAATGCCCTGATTGCCCTGATTTTTCTGGGTATTTTTCATGTTACTCTTAAAAATCCGACTTGTAAAATGTTTAAGGCTGATTCAAGAAGTGTTCGCCTTTTTTTTACCCTGCTAGAACCATGGTTGGGCGCCTCCCAACCCTGAGGCGTCAGGGTAACCCGACAATTACCCTGGTACAGAAACACCAAAGAGGCAAGATACGTGCCAGATTTTGTGCGCGTGATGCCTGCCACGCCCCTCGTCAGTCCAAAGTTTGTTGCCCACCATCATCATATGCGCATGGCCATATTCGCTCGCATTCTACCACTTTACCACCTCGTTGGCCTTCCCTCGCCTTACGATTGGTTAGAGTGGCAGCATTGGTTCCTCGCTGGGTGACAAGTTCGCGCGCCGACAGTGATTGCTGATGCATGCAGCAACTTCACAGGTTTTTGCCTGTGAGCAGTCCCAAACGAGGCTCTTGACTGCACACCTTTTGCGTCTCGCAAAACGCCCTTCTTCTCCATACGTTTCTTCCATAAACCATGCCCCCTGACTTGCAACGAGCATTCCCTCACCCAGTAGTGTTTCGAGTAGCTGGATCGTCCTTCAGCCATGGCGCTCGATGATGCCGATCTTCCTGATCCTCCCCCACTGAATGGACTCAGCGTTCTTGGGGTTTTCCCCCTCCTCCCGCCGCGTAGAGTTGCGCCTTCCCCGCCGCGCAATCCCTCGCTCGACAAGCGTGCACCCCCTCCGCAACAGTTTCTTTTTGAGCCTACATCCCCACCTTCCTCTTCTCATGCTGCTGAGGCGATCAACCTCAACCTGTTGCACAGCGAAGGCACTTCTGGCGAGGCACCAGAAGTTGCTGAGTCTGTCACCACTGCTCCCGCCAAGAGGAAGGCCAGCGGACCATGGACTCAGCGTCGGCTTCCTTGGGCGCCACCGCCGAAGAAGCAGGCTGCACTGCCTACTCCTCCGCCTGTTGCTCCTACTCCGCCCCAGAATCCCGGTTCTCCTGTCGACGCGGAGTATGAGGTCGTGAATCGTCGCTTCGTGGACGACTGGTCACGGCGCTTCCCATGGCTCCGACTTACTCGTATGAAGAACGGCCGACCTGCCCTCAAATGTGCCCTGTGTCTCCAGTACGGTGATGCTTTCTCCAACACTTCATATGGCAGGAAAGGAGAGGGTGCGCGCGATCTCCAGGTGGGCAGCATCCGAATCCACATCGGGACACGGGCTCACAAGGCGGCTGTCAAGGCGCAGCAAGAACGGGAGAAAGAGAAGGATCAGCAGAAGACGCTGGACCGATGGGCGGTGACAGACGCATCGACGAAACATCTCATCCGGTGCTTCCATATCGCCCTTTTTGTCTGTAAGGCCAACGCGCCCATCGTGATGTACGTAGCGCTTTGCTACTTCCTCGCGTCCGAGGGCTTACCAGATCTCCCGCAGGGTCGGGCGTATGGGACCTACTACACGGAGTGATTTTTTATATCCAAATCCCTCTTCTCCCGTGAATGCATTGCATGTCGCGGCAGACATCGAACGTTGCCGTAATTTCCTTGTATGTGTCCACCGGCTCTCCAACTTTCTTACCAGTAGCCTATCCATTCCCATCTCCCCCTACCAGTTATAGCTTCAAGCAAGGGACCAAGGCGATTTCCGAGTACCTGAAGGACGAGCAGCTCCACCACATCATGAGCTCCCCATTTGTTGGCATCGCCATCGATGAAAGCACGGACCACGTGCACGGGAAGCATCTAATTCTGTATGCTACATTCTTTCGTGGCAACTCGGTAGTCACAGAGTTTGTCACTCTGCTAACTGTCGAGCGGACCGATGTGGCATCTCTGACGGCGGTACTTCTACAGTACCTGCAGTACATCGGTCTTGACCTCCAGAAGATCGTCGGGATGGCTACCAATGGAGCATCGGTAATGACCGGTGTGCAACAGGGAGTGGTAACCCGCCTGAAGAGGCGGATTGAGCACCTGATGGCTGTTCACTACATCGCCCATAGGTGGGGTGTTGTACTCGCTACCCTCATGTTTTCAGTAGAACGCTCCAAATCATTGCATCTTTTCTAGTGTTGTACTCGTTGGTCGTATGCTTTTTCTCTGCTTGTTGGACTCATTGCTTTTTTGTGTTTAATCCACTCCTCCCACCAGAGAGGCACTTGCGGCGAAGGATGCTGCCGCTGCTGTGGCCGAGGTACATATCATCGACATGCTCATCCGTGCTTTCGCCGAGCTCGTCGGTCACTCCAACAATCAGCATCTCAGCTTCATAAACTTCCAGCTGGTGTTTTGCAACACCAATCTAGAGATGCAAGGGATCCACGCCGTACGTTGGTTGTCGCACGGAGAGGCGGTGATCCGCTTTGTCAAAGTGCTGCCGGCGGCCATCGTCTTGCTGCGTGATCACCCCGGCGCTCTTTTCGAGATTGTGACGTCGTTCAAGGTGCAGTTCATGCTGCACTACCTCGCCGACATACTGGAGGAGTTGAATCACCTTAACACCCGCTTCCAGCAGCGCCAGGTATGACACTCCTCTCATCGTTGAACGTCGTCAGTACCATGTGCTTGCATCTAGACACTGAGTCATACTTTGCACGTTTATTTTGCATGTCGCTCATGGTGCCCTGTTTGCTTTGAACTTATCTCTGTGTTTCCGTTGCAGGTGGATCTCACAGTCGTGGCCTCAGTTGTGGACAACACGTGCAACCGCATCACCGACCGCTACATCAGGTGCGGCGGTGGTCTCTTCTTCGGGAACGGCAGCGAGAGGCTCGGAAATTCCTGGAGCGTCACGGGAGGTCCGACCAGCGCCGCGTGCGTGTTCAAGGCGTTGACTCGGAGGGGAATGCTCAGGCGTTCGAGTATGTGCTGCATGAGCGGATGGTGGAGGGGCACAACACCAAGAGCGACCTAGACTCATGCGCCCTAGTCTACCGGAAGCATGCAATCGATGTCGTCACCAACGTCCGTGCCCGCCTGAAGGACCTGGCTAACATGGAAGGATACAAGCTCTTCAAAGCCAAGACCTACCCATGAGACGACGAGTTGTGCCTAGCGAGATGCAAGCAGTGGCTGCAGCATTTCCACAACCTCTTCGATGGAAAGCTCCCAGGTGAGATAGATTTGTTCTCGATGATGTTGCCTGTCATCGATGCTTGTGTGTCCGTTCTTAGGCTGCAGTCCCCGCAATCCATTTGTAGCAACATTCGTTGCACATCTCCCCTCGAAGGCTTACTGTTTCCTATCCTCTGAATCCCAACCCCACCATCATGTAGGCTTCGACTACAACAAGGCCCTCACGGAGCTGTGGGTGTTTACTGCTGCCATGGTTTCGCAGTACAAAGATGACGAGTTTCAGCAGGGGCTCACCTTGAACCTGGACAACAATGAGTGGCAGTGGGGCTACCCCAACATTCTCAAGCTGTGGCAGGCACTGGAGGTGCTCCCTCACAGCATAGTGGAGTGCGAACGTGGTTTCTCGAAGCAAAATCTGATCAAGTCATGGAGTCGTGGGTGCCTTGGCAATGACAGCCTGGGCGACTTGATGCGGTGCTCGCTCCTCTGCTACCAGATTGACTAGTTAGATGTGGTAGCTGTTTTCCGAGGTGAGAAGCGGCGGCGGTCCCTGCGCGACTTGTGTTCTGCCAACCCAACTCCAGCTGTGGCTTCTGCAGATGCAGGCACCACAAGGACTGACCCTGACCCTGACCCAGTTCCACTAGAGGATCCTAGTGTGCTGTAGGTAGTGTGGTTGTGATTTTCCTTGCCTACGTTCCTAGTTCATGCTAATTATTTCCATATGTTAATTATTGACATGTAGTGTAGCTAGGAATATAGTGCATTTCATAACGTGAAACTGGGTTCTGTTTTTTTCACCCTGAGCACCTAGAGTGCCGAATGTTCTACCCTGCTGAATCAGACTGGCGAAAAATTGTACTCTGACCGGCAGGGTAAATTTTTTTAGGCACTCTGATTCCTAAGAGTGGCCTAAAACCAATTTTGAGCCCTGGTGACGTCGCACTGTTCAGGTACTTGTGACAACGAATATATTTATGTAGCTTAGCTAGGTCATATGTGTTTATAGCATAGCTTGTTTAGTTCTTAGTGAGTACAGTCCGAGTTTTTGTATCCCTCAATATTTTCCCTTAGACACAACTTTTCCTGCTACTCTAACATGGTACAGTATTGAGCTAGGTTATATATTTTTTTTCCGCTGTCTCTCATGCTTCCGCCGTTACTCCCGCTACCGCCGTTACTATAGCTTCTTATTTTTCGCGCATGTGCACCTCTCTCACTTTCGCGTGCTGTAGTCTTCCAATTTCGAGCACTGTAGCCTTCCAATTTCGCGTACTGTAGCCTTCCAATTTCGCGCACTATAGCCTAGACACACTCCCCCCCCTAGCGTTCGCACTGTTTCGTACAGCAGCCAGCAGGCCGGTGAGCACGCCAGCAGCGCGCTAGCCAGCACGCTAGCCAGCACGCCCGCCAACGCGCTAGCCAGCACACTAGCCAGCACGCCAGTCAACGCGCCAACCAGCTAGCCAGCACGTTAGCCAGCTAGCTAGCCAGTGCGTTAGCTAGCGCGCCGCCAGCAGTGCTAGCCAACTCGCTGCTAGCAGCTCCAGCCAGCTAGCAGCCATCAGCGTCCGCCAGCACCTGCTGCCAGCTACTAGCCCGCAGCGCCTGCCAGCTCGTCACTGGCCAGCTCGCTGCCGCACCAGCCATTGCCACTGCAGCAACTGCCTCTGCCACTGCAGCCGCTGCATCTGCCGCCACTGCCACTGCCGCAGCCGCCTCTGCCACTGCAGCCACTGCCTCTGCTGCCACTGCCTCTGCCGC